TAGCAGTATCGTATCCAGTCTTCAGCTCGCCAATGATGGTCGCGCCTCAGGGGTGGTCACTGGCGAGAACCAGAAAGTGATCAAATGCTCCACATGTTCACAAGATGTACAGTACTGTAGTATGACGGATTGTGACCAGGTTGGATCTATCCACGCCGGTCTTCGAAAAGTCCTTTGGCGTACAGGTGCCGTATCATGTTGTATCTACTTCAAGTCTAGGGGGACGACGGGACGAAACTCCTGGTGCTGCGAAGTGCTGGTCATACTGGGATCCAAGCCAGTCCCCTGTGTCACCAGTGCAAGCCTGTGGGAAATACGGAACATGGTGGACGGTGGCCGGGCACTTTCGAAGCCTTTTAAAGGGCCTTTGCTCAAAATTTAGCGGCCTCCCGTGCGGTGGGACAATGTGGTACAACGATGTACAACGGCTCTGGACATCATTTGCGGATCATTTGCGGCGTTTTGCACCTTTCGGTGGTCCATAACATCTCGACGGGTTTAAGGAAAGTTTCATGATTTGGTATCAGTTATATGCTATAGTGGAGGAATTGGCCGCAGATGGCCTTTAGACTGGTTCATGACACCGGAACGATGTCTCTCCTCACCAAGTTTACACACGGCAGAGCTGAAGTGACTTGCACAATCACCTCCATGACGAACTGCCAATGCCAGCCACTGGAGTGTTCGGATCATATTACAAATTGTCATACTCATCGCCGGATGGGGTGTCGTGGACAACACTCATTTCCGATCAGCGCAAGGATGCGGATTCGGCACGCGACATCGATTCAGAAACTCTGCGGAATGATTCCTGGATGGCCATGCATGGCCATGTTGCTCATGTCAACCATGTGGTTTTGCAGTGAGTGGTCATTAGCCCACAGAGATGAACATCTTTAAAGTGGAGACCCACCACGAACAACAGCTCCAACATGCTCCAACATCGAAGGCTAGGGCTAGTGCACCTCCCAGCCAGAAAGATGTCGCTGGCAACTGGTTAGAACTTGTTCTTGACCAACCTCTCTGACCTTGAGTCCTCAAGATCGGGACCTGGTACTTCATCCAGAAGCATATTGAAGCCAGAGCCAAAATCGAGGCATGTTTGTGGACGGCTGCGTATCATGTCGAGGTGCAGCTCGCCCTATCTTGAAGCAGAAGATTGAAGTCCTTTCTAACGACACTGGAGTAATGGTACGGCGAATTGATCCTTACCAGAAGAAACCGGAGCTTGTATCAGACCTGAAGCTCCAAGTAGTTGCTCGTATTCACTCCGATGTCCCTTGTTCATGCAGAGAAGGTGAGGTTTGTCCGGCGTTTTGTCCTGAGGTACGTTGGGGCGATGCCTGGCAAGCTGGTCCAATGCCTAAAGGTCACTCAGAGTGAAAGGCTCAGATGGCCCAATGAGTCCAATGCCTTGCCGCCTTGCACCGGTGAAACAGAGTCTTTGACCTCGCACTGGTGCTGCACTGGTGCTGAGAGACAGGAGACTAATTTGCTTTTTTAGGTTCCAATCCGGTCATCCTCATCGACGAGATTGACAAGTGCGCATGATTGCCAGTTTGAGCACGTTTGAGCCATGCATGATCAGATATCATCAGGACGTGCTTGTAAGACTTCCAACCTACCACAGTTTGTGAGAGAAATGCCGCGATGCCAAGCTGGTCAGGCTGGGCAAAGATTTTCGTGGGGACCCTTCTGCAGCACCCTGGCTGCCGAAACCTGGAGACAACTTTTCGATTGTTGGGTCTAGGGCATGTTCGTGAGGCATCAGGCCAGGACAGCCAGTTTCGAGTCAGGAAGGGCTGGGCTCTGGGTATTGCCATCTCCGGAAGAGCGTGGGGGGTGAAAGTGTCAGCCAATGAGTTGCCTGTGGTGTCCAACGTGATGAAGTGACATGTGCAGTCATGTGATGCAGGATGATTTGTGATGTGCTGATGTTTTATGGGGTGATGTGGTGAGTTGCTGCTTTGAATGTTCATCATCCATGGTCCATTGTTATACCGATACTTTGCTTGCTCATGTCTTGTCAATCTTCTAAGTATACTTTTCTGTGGATAGGCTTTCCTGGGCTGCTACCGCTACTCCATAGGTGACTCAACAAGCCTCTACTTTCCTGCAATTTTCCATAGATGATGTAGGAACATTTGACGTTCCATGGATTTACCCTTTCTTCTCTCCAATGCCCTCTTTCGGCACTGCTTGTTGTGATTCTCTACCTCACCTCCGGTGCAAGGAGTCCCGACGTAACAGGCACCTGTGACAGACGCTCTGGACAGTGGACCATATACAAATTCAAACCAGTAGAGAGACTTCGCAGCCTGGGCCTGAACCATGCCCACAAGGCATACACCCTGTAAAACAAAAAGCCTTGCTTGCACCCTCTCTCAATTTCAAACATATGTCAAGACCAGTTTCATCAAAACACCTGACCTGTCCTGGTCTTTGATTTTTGTCATGGGATTCGGGATTTTATAGTGCTCCTGCAACACAAATGTCTTACAGAAGCGTTGGTGTGGCAACACACGCATCAATATGTCGATCGTGCGCATGCAGAGAGACGGATACGATACCTAGAACATCCTAGCACCCCAATTGAGGAAAAGGTCCACATTTGAGTGGTGGGGGGAGGGAAAGTTTGGTCCAATAGCTTGGTTGCGCCGAACGGTGACAGTGAAGAGCTTGGATGCGCATTTGATGCGGTGACCAAGCTGTAAGTGGCCCAGTGGCCCACATGGCCATTCGCGGCCTGAGGCACTGCTAGAAGTACTTGCCCGGGCCTTTGGTTGTTTATGTGGAGACATCAAGGCGACTGTGATGCCTTGGGGCAGGATCCTGAGCAGAACAGCAACTACAGAGATCACTATTTGGTGCACAACTTAGTTCTTGTTGCATGTGCAGAGGTGAACCAACCATCCAGTTTGCATTGCATGTGAGAGCCAAAAGAGCTTGCAGGATGTGCCGATGGACTTGCTGGACACCCAAATGCTCGTAATATTTATTGCCCAGAGCTTCAGTAAAGTGTGTGACACTTGCAGTTTTGGGTTGCAAGGTCCAAGGTGCTGTTTGCCCCAGCCTTACCTCGCATGAGCTTATCCGATGAACAAAGCATGAGCTTACAATGTATTCGATTGACGGGCAGAGGTTTGCACTGCAAACGAGCTGGACACCATTCCTGGGCCTTTGCTGGATCGAATGGAGGCACCAGGGTTGCAGCTTGCCCTGGCAAACCTCGAATTCTCTCGTCGACAACTGCTTGTTTGTCGGTAGCACCAGCGAGGTGATCAGAATAGCCGGCTACGTTTTTGAAGAGAAGCTGGCAATCGCAAATCAGTGACCAAGACCTCCCAAGTGCGCGCCCACACTTGATGACTTCATCCATGAGGTATTTGATCCCTTCAACCATGCAAGAGAATGGTGTTGGTCAGAGCCCTGCTTGGAGGCGTTTCCCAAAAATGCGTTCAGTGTAGGAAAACTGCCTGGACCTAAGGCGAGGAAAGGCTGTCCTTAAAGGACATCCTCCGACGCGTCGAACAGCAACCAACTGTGAAACAAGTTGAAGCGTTTCCTTGGAAATTGTTGCAAGAGATGACAAGTGGTGTTTATGTTCGCTAGGACGAAGCTGTCCGAAAGATGATTAGTGATTATGCCTGCATCTCAGCTTTCAGCTGCAACTGAAGAGATCGTTCAGGGGATTCTGGGCTAGTTTAGCTCACTGCAAGTAGTCACTAGTCTTGAGTTTGCTGTCTTCTGCTTTCATGTGCCGTTTGCCATGTTCGTTCAGCAAGCCTCAGAAGAAAGAGCGTCCTTTCATTTGGTGTTAACAGGGGCAGATCATCAGGAACATCACCAAGCTTTTTGCGCTTGGTTCTGTAGCCTTTCGTGATGGGCAGTTTTGCGTTGCTTGAAAATATGTTACAACCCCCCCGACCCCCTCCACCAACAAAAACCAAGAAAGACAGTCTGCCCAACACACCTCTGAGGCCAGAGAGGCCAGAGAGCTTGTTGCACCGGTCGCGTTTGCACTGCCGATGTCAACCTCTTTTGTTTTCTATGTTTCGTGTGGGGACCTCTCTGCGTGGCGCATTGCGCACGCAGTTGGATGCTGGAGGCAGGGGTGCGTCAGTTGCGGAAACTCTTGGACAAGGTCTCTCGCAAGGCCGAGTCGATGTGTGCCTAGTTGTAGAGATTTGCAGCACACAGGGCCACCCAAAGTGCTTCCAGGTTGCTCTCAGCATGGTGCGCAAGAAAGAGGAGGCCATTTCTATTCTATGGCATCTAAGATTTACTGTAGATTCTAAATGTCAGAGGTGAACAAATTCCACCATGAACGTGGTTGTGAGTCTTGGAGTGCTTTGCAGGAGCTTCCAGCTGTTGTGGTAGGAACTGACCTTATTGGAACTCTGGAGAAATTGAGGGAGCAGATGAGCACAAGCATGTACAAGCTGCCTTTTGCTCAACCGGGAATGACTTGTATTTGTTTGAGTTGAGTGTCCTAAGTCTTTTGACTTCATGTCCAGCACTGACTGTCACTCCAAGGTTCCGAGAATCTCACGACCTACATTGGTCAGCCACAGTTCCTCACGGACAGGTGGTGCGTTCAGGAAATTGGACAACAAATCTAAAGCGTGGAAAGACTCCAAAGCGTGGAAGATCCAAAACCAAAACTTCTTCGGCATCCAGCATGGCATTTGTTGTGGATACGGGTGACCGAAAAGGCTGCTTGAAGCATGGGACTGACCAAAAAGACCCAGACATGCTAGGCTCTTTGGTCAAGACATGCCTCCCGGTGTGGCAGGATTCTTAGAATCTCACTCAATTAATGTCACGTTGTGGAGCGTTTTTGAAGAAGGCTTGCTGGGATTTATAGGAGCAGAGGAGACGGAGAGAAGATGTTCCGAAGAATCACTGGGCGGATGAAGGGCTAAGGCTGCCCAACCGTGACATATGATGGATCCAAGCTCACACCTTCCGTGTATGTATATAAGGCTTTGACCAATGCCATGGATGATCCATTTGCCGTTCTACGGATTCCTTCTTTTACGGTGCGCAAGGAATCTGATCTACCCAAGTTGAAGGAGAGGGCTAAGAACTTAGTGAAGCAGTATGAGAAAGTCAACAAGTTTGACAAAGCCCGTGAAGTTGAAGTGGCTTACAGAAGTGTGAAGGAAATGGTCATCAAGAGAGCCAACTGCGCCGGGTCAAAAGCCTTCAACAAAGTGATGGTGAATCGGCCTGCAAAGTCGTCCTCCGAAAAGGTGCCGGAGAAGTCCGGGGAAAAGTCCGGTCCCAAAAACCCTGCCGAGGTTCATTTTCTGAAAGCTCAGGGTGCCAGGGGCACAGCGAGCGCAGGCACAGCCGCGGCTAGCGAAAAGCCGGTGCCTGCCCCATCGCAACCCTGCAAGAGCCGCGAGGAGCGGCTGAAAGAAAAGCTGGAAGCTAGAAGAGCCGCTGCCAGCGAGAAAGACAAGAGAGCAGCTGCCATTAAAGAGAAGCTGGCGGCAAAACGTGCCAAGAAGAATGGAGACGCACTCCCAAGTGCAAGCTCTCCGGTTGAGTCAATGCCATCCCTTGAAAACATGGCTAGTCCCGACAGCTCTGGTGTGGAAGCCGATGCCGACCATCGGAAGGAGGCTGGAGCGGGTACTGATGAGCACAGTCACAATGCAAGTCCCGACCAGAATCCTCATCCTCAAGGTCCTGACGGTGATGACGGTCCCAACATGCCTGAAGAAGACATGGCGGTGGACTTTTTTTGATGCCTGCCTGGGTGTGTTTGGAGGCTGCATGGGCCCCAGGCCCGGCCACTTGGCCTCTCCAAAGCAATTTGGAGGACATTCTGATGTGTGGCCAGTCTCACCAAGGGACAACTGTCTCGGTCTCGTGCCAATGCAATGCCCACTTTTCAGCCTGGCATCAGTTGACTCAAAGGGCGGTTGAAGGCGGTGAACTTACAGATGACCTCAACCCAACTGCAAACAATCCAACAACATCTAACAACTAAAGCTGTGGGGCTGTGATTGGTTAATGATTGATGATTGATGGTTCAGTTCCATGGCGAGTCAAACGCTGATGAAAGCCAGCTGAAAGTGGGTGAGATAGTCCATCGGTGGCAAAACAGCAGGGACAAAGTGCTGCAAAAGAAACAGAGGCTCGTGGCTGACGTTTGAGGGCGTTTGTGTTGTTTGCTGCTTTGAGAACCGGTAAAATCGGGCCTTTCGTCGAGCCGGAATCAGACAAGACATGGTTATGTTACGTTGAGATTGAGGTCATGGGCCTTGCTTGGACGAACATGGGAGGAGCTACTCTCTTCATTGAAGCACGAGGCGGCTGTTTGCTTCAAAATGGAATGACACACCAGTGACCCCCAGTCCTTTGACTTGATTTGACTTGATTTGCTGTATGTGACCCGTTTGGACTTCAGGGCGGCTACCTTTGGAGAGCAGCTGGCCTAGTTCTTGCAACTTTGTACCCGGACTGGGACTTCATCAGAAATGCATGCTTTCACCTACCACCTGCACACGGGGCTAAGACCTTGAGATTTCAAGAGTCACCGTGGAGGCGGGGCGAGGGCCGGCAAGGGTGTTCACTGGACAAAAGGGGTGGCTGACAAACACGACATCACTTGGGCAGTCCAATGGACAACAAGCATCAACAACCTCTACAAGTACTACTCAGCGCCGGTAGAAACCAAGCTGTATGCGAGCTTGACAGTTGTCTTTTTGGATAGACCATTGGAAAATAAACATGTAAAGGTCCCTTGGAGCTGTGAAAGTACAGAGCTCACTATTCTTCCTGCCCATAGTTCTTTTGATTTCTTTTGAACTGCAGGCCCCCCAAACTGTCCTTGTTTCAGGTTTCTCAGCGTCACATCAAAGGGCTAAATTGTAATAGGTTGGGTCACCAGATCCAAGGGTAATTAATACACCCGTTGCTTTTGCCAAACCAATCCCAACCAGTGTTTTTCCTCATTAGAACAGTTCTTCGAGGTGACGCTACAGTCGGCAATGGCTTGGACCATCCTTGTGCAAAACACGGCGTTTCTCGAAGAACGGCATGGGAACGTCACGATGTGTTCTCGTCATGCCAGGGCCCAGCTGACGAGGATGAATCCCGTCCGACTTGAGCTCAAACATGCCGAATCGCGAGCGAGATCACGACTGGAGACGCGTCGATTCGAAGATCACCAAGGTCTGAAGCACCGGTGACGGCGCCAAGCGAGATGCAGGCCGGTGACGTGATCCTGACCAAAGGGACGGGGGGGTCCAATGTCCAACAGGGAGTCCCTGCTGGGCTAGGGACACCAAAAAACAGACGCCTGTGTTGACAGGTCACAGGTCAGCTGGGCGCAGTCATGAGCGAGTCCAGCAGCATCTCTCTCACGTGCCGCTTTCAACTGTGTGCAAGAAGCGACTAAGCCACCACAAAGAGTGCGCAAGTCGCGACCTTTATTCGCAATTTGCAGAGCAGAGCACAGCTACAGTTCCAATGTAGCCCCCATGAGTTCCACAGTTCCACATACTGGCCACTGGCCACAACAGATATTTGGCCAAGAGGTACGCGCGCATGTTCATCCGGGAGCTTGAGTCTGAGCTTTTGCCTGATGCTTCACGTAATGTAATTGGTAGTGAGTGTTGTGCATCTTTGTGTGGAGGTCGAGGAGGACCATGCCGCTTCATTCTTTTTCAAGTCAATGATGTGCCTATTGCAACCGCACTGAATCATGGCGTACATGGGGGCCACCTACAAAACGCACGTAAAGACAGAGATTTGGTGTGACTAAGACGTGGGCTGCGCTATCCTTCAGAACAAGTATCCTAAGAGTGCGCCTTTGCTAAGTATCCCAAGAGTGCGCCTTTGCTATCCTTTGATCCTTGCTTGACCAGACAAGCCACGCTTTCCCAAGATTCCATTGAAAGGAATAGCTTCAATCGTCGGCAAGGGGCTAATTAAACACAGAGTTCTTGAACCACACACACACATCACAAGACAAACAGCTCAGTGTGATCTGACACTAGCCTGCACAAGCATTCTAAACGAGCAAACTGCACCCACCAGATTAGGTACTATATTGAAAACGGTGCATGCCGGGGTGAAAGGTTACCCCTGGCGAGTTCAGTCATCAGTATGACTCGATGCCCATGCCAAGCCTAGCTAGCAACACAAACAGAATTGAACAGGAGTGAGAGTGAGAAGCAGATCATGATGTAGTATATAACTTCTTAACGTGTGTAAGCATACATACATACATACATACATACATCAGAGGGATGCGGCCCTGGCAGCTTGGGAGCGGGCAACCCAAATCCACAATCCCGACAAAGAGGCCTGGCAACGCATACTCGACCAGGACCACTACGACATTTACAAACATGCCGCAGAGAGACTGGCCAAAATATATGAAGACAAGGAGCACTACCTGCACTCCAAACCAGGCAGGGCCGTTGCACACAAGACAAAGCAACGAAAAGAGGCCCTCATCGACCAGTGCAAACAGCCATGGCAGCACGGCAAACACCAATGGAAACCCCACAGAAGCGGGTACCAATGCCACACATGTCAAACCAGAGTGCATCAAGGTTTGACAGCAGCCATGATTGAAGAACGCCTGCAAGAAGACTGTGCCCAGCTGACGGCCCCAACCCCGGAACCTGATCTTCGAAAGAAAACCACAAGAGCCAGTCGTATCGCATCCCTGCTCAAGCTGCAGCAGGAACATCCCATCACACCGGATGTTCACAAGCTCCCAGAGACAACGGGGTATCTCAAGTGCAGCAAATGCAACCAGGCCATCCACAAGAGGGCCAATGAAGAGCTGTTCAACCAGTTCCTGAACAGCATCTGCATAGATGCACCCTACACCCAGGAACATCAAGCACACAGCACCCACACCCTCTGGCAGGTGGGGAAAGCCATCCAATGCAAAGGTTGCGGACTCCAAACCCATCTTGATGAGAAAGACCGCCTCATCCTTACCAAAGGCTTCCAAAAAGAATGCAAGGGGCATAAACCGAACTCACCCACGCTGGCACACTTCTTCAGTCAAGCCAGTCAGAACACCCAAGCTGCCCAGACACCACCGGAGGCACCCAAAGCACCGGCAGCGGAGCGCCAGGAGGCTACCGCTCAAGCTACAACCGGCCATGAAACCCAGCCAGCTCCAGCCACCCCGCCTCCAGCATCAGCACTTCCTGCTGATCTGTCACCACCAGCTCCAAAGAAGCTGAGGTTCTCGACAGAGACCCTGACCACCAATGCCGCTCAACAGGCCATGACACCCAGCTCACTTGAGCAGGCTGAGGAAGAAACAGATGGCGAGGACGACCCAGAGGTCAATGTTGACTTCTTCTGAGCTGACACGTGAGACTTCTACTGAGCTGGCATTGGTGAGAGCTGCACTGGCCAACACGGCCTCCAACGACAAACAACTTTAGTAGAAAAAAATACATACATACATACATACATACATACATACATACATACATACATACATACATGGCTCAAGCTGTGAGAGGTTCAAGCTGGTCCCGCAAAAAATCCAGCTAGTGTGGTACCCCTCGCACCACGTGTGCACTGAGAACATCCTTCCGATCACCGCCAAAGAGGTGTTCAAGGGTGAGCGTCCTTTGCCCGTGATCATCCGACCTCGTGCACCTCGCCCCGGCAGACACCTTTGGCACCTGGCAGTGCTCGCTTGGCTTCGACTCTGAGCCCTAGTACGGCACTGGAGCCACACCTCTGCCTTTGACTGAGGCCAGATTTTCACCGGGGCCCCGGTCCTTGCCATCACCTTGCACTATCACTTGACCCTTGACGGCCACAGTTTCCTGAACAATGACGACAAGTCATCCCTCCTCCTGGGGAAGGACCTATGTGGTGTGTCAAAAGTGCTCCAATTGGATCTGGCAGGACAAACTTCGACCAGATACCCGGTGCCGCAAGTGTGGCAATTGGTGGCCATCCACGAGAGCTGGCATAGGCAAAGGAAAAGGACAGGGAAGACCAAGCAGGTCAAACGAAGGTTGGCATCGAGGAGGCCATGAGTTACTGGACAAACCAGGGCTTCACAAGCTAAAGCCACTCAAGAAGAGCATGCCCAACCAGACAGCCAATGACCTTCTGACCAGCTCATGGGATGTCATCCCAACCGAAGTTCAGACCAAGCTGCAACACTTGGGATTTGGTCCACCTCCACCTGAGGAACCGGGACTTGAAGCCATACTTCAAACTCATCTCAAAGAACTTCCCCAAGCAGTCCAAGATGTAGTGAACAAGATGCAGCAGCCTATTCCGGACACGGAGAAAGCTCTTGCTCAGAAACTGAAGACACAAGTGACCGAGCTCAAGACGATTTCAATGAAGAAGGCACAGCTACAGACCCGCCTTGATCAGGTCAAAAGTCAATATGCCACCATGCTTCAGGAGATGCAAGAGCACCAAGGCAAGCTTGCTGAAGGGCAGACCAAGCTCAAAACCCTCTCAGAGCAGTACATGCAGGCGGTCAACAAAAACCCGCCACCTCCTGAACTTGCGATCAATGATCCCGAGTTGCCCATCCCCATGGCAGTCGAGACCTTCGTCACAAGCTTGGGCATTGAACTGACCGCTGAGCAGCGTTCCCAGCTCCACGGTCTTCTTAAGAGGCCAGGTGCTGACGTTGATGACCCAAGCAAGCGCCGGAAAACAGATGCACCCATCCCACCACAGGGAGGGGAGTGTGGGTAACACTGCACAAGCACACGGCAACTTCCAAGGTATCCTTGTGCCAATACCTTGGGAGGACATTGAATGGGCACCAGACCAAGGGGATTGCCGCGCTGCCTCAAACTCAGCAGCAGGGGTTCAACAGGTGACATGTGCAGGGGATCAGTCACATAAACACCTGTCACTTCCAACTTTGACTTTGGGGACTCACAACAAGAGCGCACGGGATACCACTCTTGTTCACCTTGAGACCACACAAGAATCTGGCTTTACCAGGTCTGACAATTTTGACTTTTTCACTTCTCCGGCTGCGCACCATGGGCCGCTGTTGGGAGCTCCTGGGCCTGAAGTAATCAGCATTCAAGGAGGAGGCAAGAGCACTTCAAAGAAAGCGGCCACCAAACACAAGGGCATGATGGAACCTTCGTACGCCTCCACCACCGAATGCATCCTGCAGAACCTCACCATGTCCGTGGGGAACCCAAGTGCCCGGTGCTTTGCCAATGCGCCCTGGAGAGCCTTCACTTGGACCTGCGCACTACTGCAGGAAACCAATACCCAGCCATGGGGAAACCTCAAAGAGGCTGTGCAGGAATCCTTGGAGCTCGCGGAGGCCGTCGACATCCAACAGCTTCCAGGACTTCAACCACTCTGGAAAAGACATGACCTCAACATGGAAGGTGATGCCAACCACTTCGTCAACACCTTGTGGAATGTCTCCCAGTCCAGAGCCTTTCACTACAGATTTGCTGAGATCCAACCAGGGGGCTACCTCACGGATCACGTCCAATTGCCCATCCTGATCCCCTTCCCAGATGATTGGCCAGAGGTCTCCAATCTGCAGGATCTCTTCAATGGCTGGGCCAACACAGGTTTGGGACAATACCTCATGGATGACAAGCCAGTGCTGGTGAGCCACATCACCAGGAACACAATGGTGGACAACACAGCCACCAAGCACTGCAAAATACTCAACACCTACGGCACCTTTACGGTCCCACGCTCGCTGGACGGTTTTGCCAGGGCATCATCTGAGTATGTGCCAGCAGCCCTCATATGTCATCGGGGCCCCAGTCACAACACCGGCCACTACTTCGCCATCCTCATCTACAGAGATTTGATGTGGATTGCAGACGATGGGAAGCCACCCATGCACCTGGAGCATTTGACTCCCCATCTCGCCAGCCAGGTCACTCAAGTCTGGGCGGTGCACATCGATACTTTCAAGACAACCCAACAGGTGCTACGCTCCTTACCACCTCCAGAGGAGCCAAACTTTGATCCGCCTCTACATCCCAGTCCAGACAAGAGGCCAAGGCATGAACAGCAGCACAACATTTTGCATTTTGCAAATGTCACACAATTTGGACGTCAAGTCCTTGACTGGTATTGGTCAAGGAAAAGTGAAGTCTACATCCTGGTTGAAACACACCTGGATCCGCAACAACACCAACAGACTTGCCAGTACTTCACCATCAGAGGGAGAACAGCATTTGGCACCCCAGCCCAGTCCAATGAAAGCAATACCGGCACCCATGGCGGCATCCTTGTCCTTGGTGATGTCTCCTGCGGCCTGACCGCCTTAGAATCCTACTCCAACCAGGGCTGTGGGTTTCAAGCTTTCCTTTGGCAAGCGACTGACCTCACCATCCTGGTAGCTGGCACCTACCTGAAGACTGGAGAGACTTTGCAGAGTGAAGTCAATGCCACGATCCTTGCAAGGTTGCTAGCTCTGGTACAAGCCACAAATCACCCTTTTGTGCTCTTGGGTGATTGGCAAAACAGCCCAGGCTCCATAGCAAGCACGGTGCTACCTTCCAAGTTCCACTTTGAAGTGTTGGCCCCAGATGTCAGCTTGCTCTCAGGCAATGTCATCGACTATGCCCTGATCCACACCAGCTTGGCCGGCACCACTTCGATCACCACTGAGTGGGCTATTCCTTGGCGGCCACATGCACTCCTCTCCTATCACTTCAACATCGAAGAAGCCACCAAAGAATACAGGCAGATCCAGCAATTTCCACCACTACCAGCCACACCGGACATTGACTTCCGGCCTTGGACCACGTACAAATCCACTGCCTACAAGCTCGACCTCTATGGCGACCCGCCCAATGAAACAGCACAGCAATGGGCCGACTGGCTCTCGTGCACTGAGCAATACCTCCTTCAGGAACACCCTTGGGCACCTCAAGGAAGGGGTTCCAGCCTCAGGGCATGCCATAAACCACTGACACCCAGCCACACAGTCACCACCTGGAAGAGAGGAAGACCGGCCTTTTGGGAGCAACTGAAGGCCCGTTTCCAACTGGCTCTAAAACAACCCACACTGCAGGCCAGAGGACCGACCAAAGGCTTCATACAAGCCACAGCTGATGTGCCCAAGCATTGGGTGGGAACCCCCACATGGGGTCAATTTCTTGACACTTGTCATCATTGGCGGCATTATCGTGATGAGCATGCTGCCACGCTCATTTGCCATACCCTTGAACATCAGCTTCAACTGGCCCACCAGGCTGCCAATGATGAAAACCATCTCCAATACAAAGCATGGCTCCAACAAGGCTACACCAAGGGCTTGAAAGGCCTGTTCCGCAGCCTCCGCAGCAGCGAACTGGCATGGGAAAGACCATACAGAAACTTGCCACCCGACGAGAGGATGACACAAAGACTTCAAGACTGGGGAAAGCTTTGGCAAATCAGGCAAGAAGACCAACCACCTGAACGACTTACCCTCCAAGCACTGGCCAAGCAGCAAGGACAGCAGCTAGAGCCTCTGACTCTCAGCCAACTCACATGGGCGCTCCGCCACCTGCCTGATAAAGCCTGTGGTCCTGATGCAGTGACAGCACAAATGCTGCGAACGGCCCCCCCACTTGCTGTCAAGGCCCTCCTCAAACTCTACCAAGAGATGGAAACCAAGGTTCAGCTGCCCACCCAACAGCAGATGCACATGGTGGTGATGCTCCCAAAAAACGAGGCCAAAGAACGGCCCATCACACTCACATCCCTGCTCTACAGGGTATGGTGTCGCCTGCGAAAGCCCTTGCTTGATGACTGGCAAAAACAACTTCCAGCCACCATGCAACATGACAGAGCCAGACCAGGGGCACAAGTGCTCCACGTAGCCCTCGAACGGCTCCTGCGACAAGAGGTGCATCGAGCAACTGGACAATATGGAGTGACCTGCCTTATGGACATGTCCACCTTCTACGACACCATCAACCTTCAGCGACTCCAGACCGAGGCCCTGAACTTGCAGTACCTTCCTCTGATGCTTGAAATGGCCTTGCAAGTCTATCATGGCCCCAAGGCCATAGTTGCGGAGCAGGAGATGACGCCCTTTTTCACCGTCACCCATGGAGTCCCAGCTGGCTGCCCCCAGGCCCCTCTGCTGGCCAAGGCGGTACTCGCCCCAGCACTCCAACCATGGCAGCAAGCGCATCCCAACATCCACCTCTCCAGTTGGGTTGACGATGTCGGTTTTGACACAGCCAGCAAAACCCCAGTCCAGGCAGCGAAAGCTTCTGTTGCCGCCTACCGAGACCTCCATGCAAGGCTCCAGCAACTCGGCCTTCAAGTCAATCCGAAGAAGACAGCCTTTGTCACCACTGACAAGGCTACTGATCGAGAACTCAGGGCCTTGCTCACCGAGAACGATCCCCAGATTGCGCCAGTCATGAGAGACTTAGGCATTGACCACCAAGCAGCCCGCAAGAGGAGGATCCCGGTGATGAAGCAGCGCATTAAAAAAGCCAACCACAGGAAAATCAAGTTGAGGAGCCTCAAAATCCCAGCCCTCAGAGTCCGGCTGCGCCTTCATCGGGGAGGCATTCAACCAGTTGCTCTGTGGGGTGTCGAAAGTCAAGGCCTCGCACCACGCTATCGAGCGGCATTGAGACACAGCATGGCCAAGCACCTGGGCCATCACACGGGCGGCCTCCTGGATGTCATCTATGATATCCATGCCAAGCGCTACATCGACCCTGCAGATCAGGTCATCATACAGCACATCAGAGCCATCCATCACCTCATCCAAGCATGGCCACCCGACCAAATGCCAGCTCTTGAACAAGCGTGGCAACTGACCAGACAACAGCTGCAGGAGAAACAATACCCATGGTACACTGTACGAGGACCCTTGGCAGCCACGATTGTCTACCTCCTGGAATGGGGATGGCAACCGAGAGACCTACTGCATTGGCACCGGCCAGAAACCAAGCTGATGCTGGCTGAAGAGCTCCACCTTCAGCAACCATGGTGGGTCATTGAGCGAACCCTCACCCGTGAAGCTCAACAGCAGCGCACCGCCAGACTCGCCAGTAAGCAGTACTGCCAAGACTTGTTAACAGGCCTGGATTGGCACACCTACAGGCAAGTGCGGAAACACCTCAAGCAACAACAACAGCACCACCTTGACACCTGGGTCCAGGCGGCATTGCAGTTCAGAGATGCGCACCAGACCAAGACCTGCCCGCAGTGCCAAGTCCCAGCCACGCCAAAACACATACTCTGGCTATGCAAATGGCACAAAACTCAAAACCATGAACCCATGCCACCTGAGTGGATGGACCGCATCACCAGTCATGATGAAGAAAGGTTATGGGCACATGGATGGATACCCCTCGAACCGCAAGAAGCAAGAACTCAGCAGCATCCGCTCCAGGGACATGGCTGCTGGGCCGGCATGCAAGTCATCCCGCTCCAACAACACTGTGGCTGGGCATTCACTCTGGATGCTACTCCTTCCACCTATGACCACCGCAGCCAGATGTGGATCTTTGGTCTCTGTGCCCACAACATGGCCCTGGGACAACTCAAGAAGCTGGGATCCATCACTGGGGTAGCGACAGGAGAACAAACCAAAGTCCGGGCGCTTCTCACCGGTTTGGTAGCCCTCACACACCACACGGCAGACCATGTCAAGGTCATTGTCCAGCTGGCATCCGTCTGGGAAGCTTGGCACCATGAAAAGCATCGGCATCCATACCACGACATCTTGGCCGAAGTACCACCCCAGGACTTCAAAAGAGTCACGGTGCTCTACATCAGCAAAAACACCAGGACACCAGACCAACCAGCCAACGAGCCGCAACTACGGCGAAGGCAAAGGGAAACAGCACTTGCAGCTTGGGAACGTGCCAAGACCCTGTACGACAGCAAGCAGGAGGAATGGCAGGAAACCCTAGATCAAGATCACAAATTGATCTATGAGCATGCCGTCCAACGCCTCAGCAAAATCTTTGCTGACAGCCAGCACTATGTGCACCAAAAAGCTCCTAAGCACCAAGGCAAGCAAACGAAGCAATACAAAAAAGAACTCATCAACCGCTGTCGTCAGGCTTGGGATGATGAGCACCACCACTGGGAGCAACACCAAAGAAGCGGATACCAATGCCGCAACTGTGGCCTGCGAATGCACCAAGGCCTTACCGCTGACATCCTGGAAACCAGGTTGGCCGAGCCCTGCCCTCAGAAGGTGTTCATGGAGGTAGTCAACTCGCCAGACAAGGAGACCCAACTGCCCAGAAAACTCACCAGGGTGCAGCAGATAAAGGCCCTGCTGGACCAACAGCCAGAGCAACCTACGGCAGGCCACCACCAACTGGCTGAGACCACTGGCTACCTGAAGTGCGTGGTGTGCAACCTCAACATCCACAAGAGGGTCAATGAAGAGGCTTTCAAAACTTTCATCCACAGCACTTGCATCAACCAAGCCTATCAGGCTGAACACCAAGGCCACCCAAGCCATGCACTCTGGCAAGTGGGGGAGCGAGTCAAATGCACGCAATGTGGCACCCAATGGAACTTGGATGGGCAACATCGCATCATTGCGACACAGGCCTTTCACAAGCTCTGTCGAGGGGCAGGTGGTAAACATACGCCACCGATCAGCACCTTCTTTCAGAAAAAGCAAGACAAGTCAAGCAGCCACAGCTCAGAGTCTTTCCCACCTGCAGCAGCAGCCGGCACAGGGCCTACTCCCAAGCGTCTGCACTTCCCCACGGCCCTGGAGGAAGCAGAACAGTCGGCCCTCACCCAAGGCATGTCAGCACTGGCCGTGACACCCAGCCAACCTGATGACGCTGCCGCTGAGGACCAACACTCTGCTTTTGAAGTAGGCTACTTCTAGCCAAAGGCCTACTGAGAAGACAACTGAGCAGCCACCTGAGGCACAACGCCAAGCCTGACCTGGCCAAACGGCCCAACTCAACAACTCTAGGAAAAAAATACATACATACATACATACATACATACATACATACATACATACATACACACACACACATACATACATACATACATACATACACACATACATACATACATACATATTGTTTCAAGATGCCTTCAACATGCTCAGACAAGGGACTTCCACGCAAGGCTGGACCCTCAGAAATCATTTCTCGACCAGGCACCTTTTCACAGAGCTGAACAAGTTTGGAGTCACTGTGCGAATCTGTCTAGGGGAGGCCATGGCTAGTAGGTTGGAGACCATCGCTATATATTAGGTTGGAGGCCATCGTTAGTAGGTTGGAGGCCATCGCGAGTTTGACCGGGGCATTTGTTGGATGTTGCGCATGAAACGGAGGCCCAAATACATTTGAACGTCCCAGAAGGTGCCACCCCCAAGGACTGGGTTGGAAACATGCATTAGAACAGGGAGACCCCCGCTTGATGCTGGTGAAGATCACCAGACTGAACCTGTTAGTTGAGGAGGTTTCTTTTAACTCAAATGCACACAGTAATCGGTGCTCGGCCGGGCTCGGCAGGATGGCCCGTCAGCTGGGGTGACGATGGCTGTGGCGTTGGTGAGCTTGGCACTGGAAGTTCCTGTGAGGTGAATCTGGCCTGTTTGGATGGGAGGTTTGGAATCATGCTTGGCCAACTTGTTCTTGGAGCATTTGGTAGAACAACATGGGTTGCAGACCGGAAGCAACAACTGAGAAGAACCAGCGTTGACTAGACTTGAGATCATATGAGACTCATAGAGTATCTCCCACAGGATGGGCTGCACTGCTATCACGCGCGAGCGAGCGCCAGCGGTCGATGCAAGAGAGTCACATTTTTGAGGCCAGATGTGGCCATGACTGGAGAGCTGAGCTTGATGGGAAAGGTCTTGAAGGCTCAGCACAACAGGAATGCTCTCAAAAAGCCACAGCTTGGGGACCCGCAGGTGGGTGGCATCCAAGAAAAGGCGAGATGTGATCCATTGTGATTTGGTGCCTTTCTTGGGGGGTGCTAGTGCCAATTGACATCATTTGACCGTCTCAGCAGGCTCACGCAAGCCCTCATCCGGCTGTGTTTCTGATGCCATTGTTCTTTGTGCTTAGTTAAATCAGCCCAAAGTCCCACAGGTCATTGCTGCTCGACGAGAGAATGTCAAGACGATACTCATGTGTCATTCTTGGAGTTCTTTTGCTCTGGCACAGTCCATTGAACCGCTTGACTCTGTGGGCGAGCTATGGCGAGCACGGAACACCGTCCATTGGTGCCTGATTTTTGGCTTAAAGGTCCCAAATGTTTCAGAATTTCTGAATGTAATCCTCCTGTGAAGCCATGGCCCCGGTTCCATGGAAAGGCGTAGGGCTTTGTGTCCTCTCCTACGTCATGGTCCACATTTCCTGCCAGATCATCACTTGCTCATTGCCATGCTTGATGCAAGATCAGGGCTTTGTGGATGCATGGACCAACACCGACATCGGACGTGTCATTGGCTTTGCTTCCCTAGCTGCAGCCATCGGTTATGGGGTCCACGGTCCATGCATTGACCGATGGGGTGCAGTCTTTGGCCTCAGTATGGCCTTGGGAGGATGCTGCTTGGGCGCCGCACTGCTAGCCACTTCAACCACACAGGCACGATTCATCGCTGGTGCTTCAGTGCTGCGTTTCAGCTATGCAGCTGGCTGGCCTGCCGAGATGAAGGCCTTAAAGCTCTTGGTGCCCGAGGAGCACCAACCGATGGCTGTCTCGACCTTGGGCTTTGCATCACGTGGGGGCGCAATTCTTGGGATGTGTTTCTTTGGCATTTTGACACAGAACCACATTCTCACATGGCGAGAGATCGCTGTCCAAGCCGCCTTCTTGCTGCTCATCATCGGGAGTGGAATTGTAGTCAGCATTCGGCAGCTTATCAAGGCAGCTCCTTCTTCAAAGAGCACTGGACATCAAAAATCAATAGGAAGCCTGCTTCAGGAGCCTTCGGTGTGGCTGCTGACCTTTGCATTTGCATGCCTCTGTCACGTTCAGCATGCCGATGACTTTATGCCTTTGCTCTTTCGGGGACTGACTGGGTCAACCCACAGTGTGACCTTCTCAGCTGTCTACCCCGGCGGTGGCATCGCAGCAATGGTGTTGAATGCCTGGAAGGGGCACTTGTTATCGCGCCGCCGGCGAGAGCAACTCTATGTCATCGCTTCAGCGGCTTCTGCCACCCTCTTAGGGCTTTTGCTTCTGCTTCACCGAGCTGCAGCAGAGCCGGGGGAGTCCACATCACCTCTGATGACCTGGCTCATTGCTTTGATCCTGTTTGTGGCAGCTTTTTGCTGCGCAATGCCTTACTACTTGGTCCCAAATTTGTTTGCCTTTGATCTCATGGGCACAGAGTGTGCAACCTTGATAGCATGGTTTGAGCTGACATCCTTTTGCACCAAGATGCCTGCCCACATGCTTTCTCTCCGAATGGCAGAGGAGAGTTGGGACCTAGTTCTGCTACAGCTGACGGTGACCATGTTCTTTGCGGCCGCACTGATCCAAGCATTGCTCCCCCTGTGGCGAAGCTTGCAGTCACATCGCCGCCATGGAGGCATCTCGCCCCTCACCAACTCGCCACCTCTTCAAGCAGGATCCCCGACCAAGCCCAAGAAGCTTGTCTCAGAGATCAATCTCGAGCCAGCAGTTGATGATGATCATGTGGGGCACTACTACAGGCACGAAGAAGTGAAGCGCCGAGGTAATTAAATCAGCACCCATTCGTTTGAAGCGTTTGAAGGCTTTAGCGTGACTGCTTAGCATGATAGCTGAAGCTGTCATTCTTCTTAATCTCTGTGAAATTCTTCAGGCCTTCGTTTGGCTTGCTAAAGGGAATTGCACATGTATGCCATTTGCATATAGAAAAGGCGGTGCCGGCGCAGGACATGGCATGAATCAAATTACTACTGCACACCTGTACATAATGCAGGAAAGGAAGAACTGACTGCATTCATTTGGCAAGATCAAGCTTTGCCGCCAAGTGCCAGCCCGAAGTCAGTCATGGGGCACCGTGCAAGACACATCTCGCCTCTATCCCAACATGTCAGACTTTGCAAGTAACAGTAAGAGGGGTCTTTATTCTCAAGATTTCTCCGGATACGTCAACAGACTAGAACTAGAACCCGTCTGGCTGATGTTTCAGATTCAACCATGTACCGCGCCTGCTGTGCCCTCAGCGCCAAGTGGACACGGTGTCAGCTGGTGGGCAGGGCGACCTGCCACTCCAAATCGAGGCTTGGTTTGTCCTTGTCTACTGGACTTCCCCATCACTTGTTGGCACAACCATGCCGTGTTTGGGACAACCATGCCGTTGGGCGGCACAATGTTGCTCGCACCATGGAATAATGGAACTGTTGTATATAACTGGCACAGGTGATTGAAAATTGAAGTTGTTACCAGGTGGCCAGTTGCCATGCGTATTTGGTGCAATGGCTGTTCATAGAATAAAGCGTGGCCGGTGGCGCCCTCCAGCAGCCTTTGGTAAAGCAGATCTTCTGCAGCTGGCAGCTTGACAGACATGGTGTTTGTCAAAACCATTCGATACCAAGTTGACATGTAGGCTGCTGTCGCTTCCAACAGCTTGTAGTCAAGCTGCATGCTAGCTACTATGTCATCACTCATCAGTTCAAAATGCAATCCAACGAACCGGAGGAGATGCAATCCAACGAACCAGAGGCGTTGTCAGAGCTTCTTGAAGGCAAGGATCCTTGCAATCTGTTTGTGGTTCCGTTGGGTTCCGTTTGGGCCTTCAACGGCGCTATGTTCTGTAGCTTCTTGCTACTAGTAACAAGTGCATTACTACTGGTAGCAAATTAGCTACTAATAGCCATGCCCTTGTTACAAGTAGCGATGTACTTGTTACTACGTTTTGTTTGCGAAGCTTCGGTTTCCGCTCCGGGAGACCGGGGCCTTCAGGTCTGGGAGCCGAATCCACGGCCGTGCAGGGTGCTGACGGTCTTCTTCGAGAGACGGCGATGGACCGAACACCCACGTGGAAGAGTGCGACGGCTCTTCGGCGATGGACCGAGACTCTGAAGGACCAAAAAGAGACACAGATGGCGGACCATAGCGGAATACACAACCCAACAACACCCAACAGATCTTTTCGTGAGCCGCTACTTCGCACAAAAGGTCAGTTTTGTCAAAATGAACGTTGCACACACACGGTGCTGATGGGCAAGGTCACTGGCATGTTCCCAGCTGATGTTGACATTCAGAAGATCGTGGCCGTGGTGCAGAAATGCTTTGATTTCGATGAGCCACCATTGTGGAGAATTACCAGAGTTCAAGATGCTTGTTGGATGTGTTGCAGGAACTCTCTCCCTCACTCTCTCATTTGCGCAATTGCAAGTGAAAACGTGGTTTTCTTTGGAGTTGAGATTCTAGATTTTTCTTGGGTGGGATTTTGTAGCAGCTGATTCCTAGAATCCTTGGGTATCCTCCACAAGTCGAACGGTGTCAACTTCTTGAGAAGTGGACTGTTTGCTCCAAGGATATTGATTGGGTCGAGCATGTTCAACGCAGTTGGCAGCCTATGAAACTGGGCCGAAGCTTCGAGGTTCTCCTCCCTTGGCATGAAGGACCTTCAGGTGCAATGGCATGCTACTACACCTTTTTGGATTCTAGTGTAAAATAGATTGCAAGATCATGCTACTTTGTCTTAAAGGGCTAACTTTTTGCTCATATGCCGTTGGCTCACGTGACCGTGACCCATTACCCATGCACCAGGTGGTGCGATGTCAGAGGGCCGTCGCGTGCTGCGCTTGGAAGGTGGTGCAGCCTTTGGACTCGGAGATCATCCAACCACGCAGGGCGCGGTGGAATTCCTGGAGAAGGCAGGGAGAGAGTCATAGTCACAGTCAACCGCCTTGCCCTGGCCTCCCAATCATGGAAGTGGTTTCTGGCCCTGGAACTCCCTATAGCTGGTTTACAGGGAAGACCCGCACTTCACAGGTCTACCGTTTTGAGAGTCTAACGAGTGTGACAAGTCACGAAAGCTAGCGCGCGAGCTGCGTTCTTCTTTGCTTTACTGTAGCAGGTAGCAATCTTGTATTGGGATGAGGTTAGTGCCTTAAAGCTTGATCTTTCACGCCCCCCTGCCCTCATAGTTCTGCTTGTTTTCTGGAGCATGCTTGCGGGTTGCTTTGTGCAATGCCTTGTAGGCTTTGGCTGCAGGTGCTGCTAGTCAGCTATTGGTTTGCTGCTAATCTGCTCCTGTTCTGTTGCTGATGCTGATGTGCTGCTGGTGGTTTGCTGCTGCTGCTGCTGCTGCTGCGGCTGCGCTTTGGCCAGCGGCTAGCTTTCGACCCCCTCCCCCCTGGCCTCAAGTTCATACACAAAGACGGATGCGTTCTTTGGGAAGCGCCTCCGTTGATGGGGTCACACAGACAAAACCGTGTCGCCAGCAGGTCCTGAGCAAGCATATGACAAAGGCAGCCGCTTGAAGTATGTTTATAGCATATTATTCAGGCTCCACTTTAGGGGCCTAGTTGAGAACCAGGCGTAGCCCAGGGGGTACTAAGAACCACTCAGAACCCCAATGAGGTTCGGAGAACAGATTGGGTTCGCAAGTTTCATGGTTCTAAGAACCACCTCCTGGTACTCAGAATCAGTAGGTCTTAGAACCCAAAGCAGGTTCCAAGAACCTTTCAGAACAAAGCCCCTCCCAATCGTGCCCCTAAAGTGGAGAATTGTAAAATAGATATTGGCAAACAACTTGTGAAAGCACCTGAAAGCACCAAGCTAGAATTCTAAGGATCGAGTTGATCGAGTTTTAGACTACGGAACTGGCTCTGGTGTGCTGGCGATTTGTGCTGTGCACCTGGGCGCCTCCACTGTGGTGGGTGTCGATGTCGATGAAGGGTCGATAGCAGCCCGCTTGCGATTCAGCTGGCGTCTCCAGTCAGAGTCCGGACCGTCAGCGAGAACATGCCATAGAAAGTGCCCATTTGTGCACCAAGAACTCCAAAAAGTTGGTTTTGTTGGTGGATGTGGAGAGTAGTCATGCTTAAGTTTCATACCTGGCATAAGAATTGTTCCAAACGGTTCAAGATCAAGAATGAGCGAGTTGAGCCCGGCGCTTGCGTCAAATCCCGATGGTTAAACGATCCCTTTCTTAAATGGTGTTCTTGTTCTTGCAAGGAAACAGTTGCATTTGCAATCGCTCATTCATCCATAGAAAATGTTGGGAATGCGTGAGCCTTCGCATTTGAGGACTCTGCAAAGAGAAGCTGTGTGTCTAGCCTGGGTGCAGAGAAGATTGTTTTCCTCAGCAGTCCTGAAGACTTTGCCGTTGCAGAGGAGAAGAGATTGCAAGGGAGAAGACCATCTTCCCACTATCCAGTCAATATAGTGAAGACGACGTTGAAATGGGGGGGCAGAAGTCCTTCTTCAGAATTCACAGAAGTTGCAATGCTGATGCATTGAGCATCATTGAGCTCTCATCGCTTTTTTGCAAACTCCTGTTGCCCAGGAGTTTGCGGCTCACTTGGTCCAAGACTACGGGCCATTTCAGGTGGTTGTGGCAAATATTTTGCGAAGGCCAGGCTTTAGGGCGATTCAGATGATTTGAGGTGTTTGAAGTCATTCTTGAAGTGTTGCGTCACACATATGTTTCACCAATCCCACCCATGACATCGTCATATCATGGCAAGGAAGCAGGTTCTCGATTAACGGTGTGTAATTAGGGCCATCCGCCATGAATGATTGAAATAAAACCAGCTGCCCCATCCAAAGAAAATGCCAGCAGAACTGCCAGAGCCTCATGACCCGCCCTACCTGCCACACCCAACACTTTTTTTGTTGACATGCCCGCATTACCTGCAATCCTTACAGAATCAATCAAACAGGGAAGATGGAGGCTCTCAATTATATATATATATAGTTGGAGACACGGTCATAATAGGGCCCCTGGTTTTCTGCTTCTTCGTGCGTTTTCGAGCTGACTGTGTGCGTTTTTGAGGTTACGGTGATGAGGTTGATGTTATAGTATTGATATTAAGACGTTAGTTTAGACTTTCAATGGGGGGTGGGGGGGGTAATGACGTCCACGCTACAAGAATGTTTGATGAACTATTTAGACGTTACATGGGGGGTGGGGGGGATAATGACGTCCATGGGGGTGATGATATTTTGAATTTTCATGGGGGTTCGGTTGAGGTTGTTGATGGATACGTTCTATGCCGACATTGTATCTCACCTACTGCAAGTTTTGGCTTCGACGATGACGGTTTCGGATGTTTCGACGGTGTTGTGTTTGGTTTTGTTGTTTCGTTTGTGTGGTGTTCGGCAACCGCCTCAAACAGATTTGGAGTGTTTGGGACCCCTTTTTCGTGTTAACGTTTTTACGTTAGATCAATATATTGATATTTTCACGACCCCTTTGTTGGATGACACATTGAACTTTGTTGTGCAAACATGTTTGATCTCCGAACGTTCTTGGGTAGATTGGGATCTGGTTGGACAAACACGTGGGAATCTTTTTCGATGTTGGTTGGACTTTTGTCGAGGTAGAACCCCCAACACAGCGTTGACAGCTGCACTTCTAGTTTTATCCCGTCGTTTACTTCGTTCCTGCGCAATGCCGACCATGAGTGCCACACCAAATGTCGTGATGAGCGCCACGCCAGATGTCGTGACTTGACACATCACTCTCAGCTTTTGTTTTTTGTTCCCCTCGCATGTTAGAAGAGTTTGTGGGCATCAGAAGCAAGACACCCTATACAGTGGCCAATTCTCTTTCTTCGTCCCAGGATCAGACGGTCTTCGAGATTTCTTCAGACGAGGAGGAGGCACCTGCTATCATCGATGGCTCGGGTGCGCCGAGTCTTGAACATAATTAGCCTGCTTTGTGTTTTCCCAGAGCTCTGATGCAGGATATGCATGCCTTTTGGGGCAGCCTAATTGTTTGTCTGAACGTCGCATGGGCAATCCAGGAATACAGCTGCGCCACATTGCGCAATGCGACCTTTGCTTCTGAAGTTGCAGAGGCCACTGCCAGATGAGAACGGTTCCAAGCGACTTCCGAAGTACTGGTTGGGCCATGTGCGCATAGCTGCTCTCAAGAAGAGGAATGGGCCAGTGGTTGTGGCTCCTTTGCCGATGAAGTTGCTGCCGCCAGGCTCAGCCCCGGGAGTTGAGTCTTATAGCGACTTGCAGAGCACCGATCTGGATAAGCATCTAGGCAATCGATCTACACAGTTGCATACAGATGGTGCACGTGCGTGGCCATGCTGGGCCACAAACCAAGGCAAGAAGCAGTTGGCAAGTTTCCATGTCAGTCACAACAAGCATGAATTTGCCAAGAAAGTCAAGCGCAGGAAGCGTCCAGGATTTGTTGTCTCCGGCACGCAATGCGTCGACCGATGGTGGCAAAGCTTGGAGAAAGCTGCGCCTAAGACACTCAAGGTGAAAGACCGCAAAGGGGGTGGCATCTCCGAGCGCCTGATGAACTACGTTTACGCTTTCGTTTCTTAGATGCCGATGTAGACCTGACCAGGGCACTCGGGAGCCTCTGAGAAAAGTCTTTGCGGCAACTACTTCGGCCGTCGAAACGAACCACCGCTGAAACGGGTACGAAACTCTGATATTTACACTATAAAATGCTCATTGGCTTCCCAAAACACAGGTAATTCACCTACTTTTCAAACACTAAGGCCTCAAAACACTGAAAGGGTTCACAAAAACGAACATGCCCCCGAGACGAAAGCCTCAAAAACCAGGGGCCCTAATAAGAACGTGTGACCATATAGTTATATATGTATATATGTGTGTGTGTACATATATATACCATGTTATTCAATGGCCAGATGCGAAAATGATTAATTACCCCGGTCCTCTTCATCCCTGGAACTTGCTGCATTGTCATACCAAAAAACAAAGCGGCAAGCTCAGGCCATTGGTGGGACTTGCTCCAGCCCTGGCACGCAGCTGCGAAAATGGAGGGCGACTGGCCTTGACAGGGCTGCGGGTTGACTTGGGCGATGGTGAAGCCGTTTCTGGACAGCAACTCGAAACACAGCAACTGACTTGGTGAACCAAGTGTTTAACACAATCGGTGTTCGTGATGTTTCGTGCAAGATAAGTCATGGGAACATTAAACAAAGCCGTATACACATATAAACAACTGCTTAAACATGCCAATGTTTGCAGAAGCCGCCAGAGCTGTGTTAATGCTTAAATTGTTGAAACACGCGTCTTTCCCATGTAAAAGGGTTTTGAGGCAGTCCTTTTGCAAAAGGCTTTAATGTATAAGTTGGATCGGCTGCCTTGAGTTTGCATGCCTTTGCTCTCAAGAAAAACTACCACCACAAGCAAAGAGGAACCCACATTGATGGTCAACTTATATAATTAAGCATGGTTCAATGGACTAACACCTCTCAGCCCCTGCAATCTCCGTGGTAATCACACGGATTGCTCAAACATTTAAGCAGATTTATAAGACATGGTTTAACAGATGCCAAAGCTGATGGAGCGTCGAGCCTGGTCCAAGAAAATGCTAAGGATGTTCGGGATTGTCGATTTGAAGGTGATGCTGAGAATTGTAGAGAGAGAGAGAGAGGGAGCAAACAACTATTATATATATATATATGCGGCAGCTTTAAACAAAATCATATGTTTTGAATGAAAGGTATCCGTTTACATATGTCCGCGACATTCCTGTGTCATCGTGTGTGCAACATGTGTGCAACATTGTCACGGTCCGCAGAGCATTGTCATTGTATTGCGCTTTGCAGAGGCCAGGCTCCACATGTTGTGTTTTTCTTGATGAGCTTGACTTGTTGTCCAGTCGATACACTGAAAGCAGACACAACCCATGTAATTAATGTGAAAATTGCCAGCGATGTTGGCCTTGACTTAGCGCTGAGAGCGATATTGCAGAGCCGTTCATGGATGATGGATGGATGCTACGATGGATTCACTTGGCGCGTGTCCGAGCGCAGCACGAAACTACGTCACATCGCCAACTATAAATTGCCAACTAAGGTTAGGCAGGCATTCAGCCCCGCATTCCACAGCTTTGTGAACGTCGACTTGCCTGGCGGCTGGCTTCTTGTGGAAGCAGAACGTGCGGCCGAAAAGGGCGGGGAGTGTTGCTGCTACTTGAGACAACGCAATCTAGCACTTAGGCAAAGCACGTGCTTGGTGGGCCAAGGCCACGGCAGAACGAGGCAGACTTCACCGAGATCAAAGAGTGGGCGCCTGAAGGAAATCATTGATAATTGAACGGAAGCCTTCAAAGCAGGATCCGATTCATACATTTCAACTATGTATTATTATATAACGAAAGCCAGCGGATAGGCTAGGCTGGAGTTGTCGATGGGCGAACGAAGTGAGTATGGGGTTGCAAACTTGGTCCTGGTGGGTAGGGTGAACCCAGAGCCTGGCGTCCAAAAGGTAATGAAAATGTATGTTAGCCGGTCTTGGTGATGCGAGTGATGCAAATGACGCTGATTAGCGCATCATAAGCATCACGAAGTGCGCAGGATGCTTTTTGGACTGTCTATTGAGTAGGAGCGTGGGTTTGGGTAGAGGATTGACGAAGTGTTGAGGAGACTACTTGGGCTGTCTATTGACTAGGCATGGGAGTTTGAGTAGAGGACAGGACAGGGGAGACTGCGTGATAGGAAATGCAAGAAAAGATGTCATCCCACACTGAGGGAGCTGACCAGGCTAACCAGGTGTTGGAGAACAGAAGCGGCGAGACTTGCGCAGGCCAGAGTCTCTTTCTCATAGAGATAGCGTTCGGACAAGGCAGGGGGACATGTGCGGGCTTCATCTTTACAGCTGCGTCTTGGGGGTGCCCCCCTTTAAATTGCGAAAAGGACTTTTAACTTGATGTAGGAGGGCACCCCACAGAGCTATAGGCATCCAAGGGGGTCGGACATCTGTGCGGGTCGAAGACTATCCTATGCCCAGTAACAGGCCCCCCCAAACTGTGAATGTCCTGCTCAGCTCAACCTTTGTCCTAACGCATGGCAGTGAATGGGCCTTGATCAAAGCCTTGTATATTGTATATAAAGTATAAAGAGCCTATCATATCGACCCTCAATGCGAGACTTTGCGCCTTTCTATTTCCCAGCGCCCAACAGCAGTAGAGGTCAGCGCAATGCCGACTTCACCCCACAACCACAGTAATCTTTGCTCAATGTTTTACAATCGCGCGATCTCGGCAGTAAACTTTCATCGGTCCACACTGAGACGCACACCGAGTTTGTGAGTCCAGGTACAAGACAGGAGAAACAAACAGCAGGTAAGCATCCCTCAGTTACTTAGGGGTGCCCTTTTTCAGCTTGAACACACCTGTGAACCAAAAGAATAAGGGCACCCCCTCTGGACCTGTGAATGCTCAATTCAACCTTTGTCCCCCCGGACCGTACATGTCCTGCTCAACTCAACCTTTCTCCTAACGCATGGGCTCCACTCTATCCGATAACCTCTAAATGGAGCTTGATCAAAACCTTGTGTATAAAGAGCCTATCATATCGACCCTCAGTGCGAGACTTTGCGCCTCTTTGCCTTCTATTTCCCCATGCCTGACACCAGTTAAAGTGCGCTGCCGACTTCACCCCATAACCACATTGATGTCACTGTCTTCTTGCGGAGGCTGGTTTTCGTCCCTTCCCTCAGGGAGATGCAGGTATTGCAAATATGTGTACAGTATATAATGTGTATATATGATTGCAAACGCCTATGCACAATTTTACACAGATATATATATATATGTGTAAATATATATATACACAGCGAGAGAGAGAGAGAGGGAGAGAGAACGCCTCAATGTTCGCCATGGCTGTTGAACGTCACTGACTATACCCCTTGCCACTGGAAATGCGACCTTCCTGCTATGACCATGATGTGCTGTAGCCTCATGTTGGCCGCGTTCTCCTCACGTGACATCCACAGGTATTTACGAGCTGGCCTCACTGCTCACTTTGCACCTTGGTAGACTGCAGAGTTAATTTGCTGTGATTTGTTGGGTTGCACTAGAGCAAGTTGCAAGTGTTTTGCAACCTGACACTGTGAATGAACGTGCGGGCCTGATGAAACGTGTTTGCATGTGTGCTAATGATTCGTGATTACTGTATATGTTGCATATGTGTGTGTGTAGATACATGCGTTGGACTGGAGGTTGTATGTTTGATATGCATACATTGACACTGTTTGCCGCTGCGTGTGCAACCATGTTTAACCGCCGACGATGCCAGAACTCTGGCAAGCATTGCAGCGGTAGTTTCTATTGAATTTTTTTGCATCCTTCCGGTTGATGTGGCATCACAACATGCCCCGAATTTTTTTCTACCGGTCTATGATACTCACGGAATGCCTTGCCATGGACTTATGGGACAGCATCAGGTCGATCATTTCGACGATGTATATAGATATGCCTTCGAAGGCACAGAGGCTGGATATGCTCGCATGGTGCCCTTACCATTTCTTGGACAGCGTCTGACTAGCATCTTCCTGTTGAACCAGAGTCTGACGCCAATGAGACGTGTCCATGGAAGGCGCCGCCGTTGCCGTTTCAGCCCAGGGGTCTACCCGTGTGGCTCTTATGAAGTCCTGGCCGTGGCGGCCGTGGCACGGCATTTCATGACCGAGGCCAAGACCGTGGTGACACCGGCTGATGCCATGCCTCCACCACTCCCCGAGGCCCCACGTCGTGTTGAGACCTGTTTTGCCGAACTGACTCGCAGAAAGATCAGAAAATCATGTGATGTGGTTGCTTGACACATACGGCACGCGCTCACACAAGAGTTTCCTCCACGGATGGTTCAAGGTACAAATGTAGTGATTCTGGGCGCATATTTAAACTTGCGACGGCAAAGGGCATGTAGCCATTCACAAATATATAATGATTGTTGGAACACCAAGGTGAAAACAATGCATTCACCAACATACTTCAGTTTTGTATGCAAAGGCCATTCACCCGTCGAAATTGATTTTGCAACCTTCCACACCAGATATTTTGCTTGCCCGCCATGGAGGAAATGCAGGACGAGCGTGCTTGTTGAACTCAGTTTTACGCTTGACTTTGCGGGGAGGCTTGTAGTGCATGGCCTGCGTGGGCCATGGTCAGACCCAGAAAGGTTACTAGTAAGGCACTTGTTACTACTAGCGTGGCACCTGTTACTACTAGCGTGGCACTTGTTTCTAATAGCTTCTTGTTACTACTAGTAAGGCACTTGTCCGGTTTTTTATGGCTGGCTTTCTGCGGTAGACTCACTATGCAGGAGGCAAACCCTGAGATGATGTGGGGGCCTCATGGACGCGATTCCTTTTGGGACGAGGGCGGTGAACAGAAGTTGCACAAGTGAAGAATTCGATTCACATGGTTTGCCCTCAGGACCTGCCGCATTTGCTTGGAATCTGACACATCAGAGGGGGATGAGCTTCTAGCCCCATGCTTGTGCTGCGGCAGTGCCAAGTCTGGGCCTGATGTTTCCGACCGCCGCACCGCCGTTTCAGCACTGACGCTGTGCACCGAGGTACGTGCACCGCAGCTGCAAGGGGAGCCCAGACCAGATCCCCGACCCGCTGGACCAAACCCACTCGACCCAAACGGTCCTAAGGCTTGGACCAATGGCGAGTGAGTGGCTTCGATCCCAAAACCGTTGCGGAGCTTAGTTGAATTGTTTTTTTGAGCAAGGGTGGAGGAAGGATTTGAAGGATCTGAACGGACACGGCCTTTTCTCAGGTCACCCATTGTGGTACTTGTAAGGCCTGAACATGTTGCCAGTCACAGTCCTTGCAATTCCCACAGTTCTCATTGCCAGGCCAAATTCAAGTTGCAGGCACCTGTTGATGCCAAGGGTGCAGAGAGAGAAGTATGGACGCTGGGCTGAACGCGTTCTCACAAATGAGCAAAGGTAATATCAAAGGTGTAGAAGCTGAATGAGTTGTGTGAAGTCGTCTTTAGATTCTGAGGGGAGAGATCGTTTGTGGCTCAGTTCCGCGCAGAGTGCAGAAGGACTGTAGCTAGGACGGGCATTTGACAACGTTTCGTTCATGAGGACGATGATGTTCCAAGATTGATCGCCTGCAGTGAATTTATTTTGAATCTACATGATTCATGATCGTCCATATTTCTGTTGGGTTGGGTGTGTGCAGTGCCTGGCTCACAAGAGAAATAGCTCACTCGCACACGCGCGGGCTATTGTGAGGCCGGGGGGCCCTACGTATCGCCACAAAGGCAACTAGCTAGGTCCATCAAGAGTGACATACTCACAGACTCTTACTCCAAATCAATCTAGTGACAGTGTGCGGTTGTTTGTGAGTGTTCCCAGAGAGGGACCTGGGCCGTCCGTTGAAGGCGATGTTCCCAAGTTTGAGCTTGCCCTTGGAACTGCTTTGGCGGCCGAATCTGCAACAAGCACCTACTGAAGCACAGCTGGCACAGGACTGGCTTGCACTTGAAAGCTGTTCCCATTTGTGATGCTTTGCAACGCTGAGAGGGGGGGCAAATCCATGCAACATATATACAGGGTGCAGATGGCTCAAGGAGAAATCCTGGCCCTACCATCGATTGCAACAACCTCCATCTCCGGGATGCCTAAAATAGTATGAAAGACAGTACATTGAAATAAATACCATCAAATGATGTCCAGAAATCGTGATCATGAGGAAGAGGCGCTCTATGCCGCACAGCGCGAAGCTATTCGAATGCAAGAGCCGCTGACCCAGCCGATTGGCCTTGAGAAAAAGCCGCAACTCGGCCACAATCCGTCACGATGCCTTGGCCGCTTGGCCTTGGCAGTCTGAAGTTGGTAACAGGGAAAATGACTAAAGCGCTAAAGCCATTTGGTCAAAAATCCTGCTGGAACATCCTAGAACCACTGGGTTGAGATGTCAACCTGCCACAGGTTTGGGGCTTTGACTCACAGCCGTTTGGTGATCCGATGATCCTGATGCATATATCAGAAGATATCAGAAGTATGTGCACCGCGCTGATGAAACTCCAGCGAGCAAATGCCAGACCAAATGCACCACCAGTCTTCGTACAATCAACCCTGGACCAAGCCCCGTGATGCGCCAAGTACCCGAACCTGATTTTTTTCGTGATATTTGGTCACTGGGGATGCCTCAAGTCAAGTCCACCAGCTAAGTGGCTAAGCAGAGCTATTTGGCTCCCAAATCGTCCTAAATCCATCGGAATGCCTAGGCCGGCTGAACCTGCTCAACCTGCTGAGGACGAGGAGCGTGGGATATTTGGGGGGGACCGGGTGCCAGTGATCACTCCACAAAACGAAAACCATCTTGTTAGCTAGCAGCTTCGCTATGGTTCACCCCCGCGCAGTTAGTCCCAACCTGTCTTACCAAGGTCCGGCTCATGAGGTAAAGTGTGCTTGGGTTGTTGATGTTCAGGGATTGTGATGTGAGGCGTAGTAGAAACAACCTCCAAAATCTTCCAACCAAATACAGCCTTGTGCTGGCCTCAACCGGAAGCTGGTTTAGCGTGCCACAGGGGTCTAGCAAACGTACGAAATCTGAAGCTCGGGCTGCACAAGCGTAGGAAAAGAAATTAGCTAAAGTCGTTTTTGGTCATTTGGCAAGAGTGAAACTAGGCACTAGGCTCAGCATGGTCAAGCACTGGAGAAGCAAACAGGATGATCTGGAGGAAGCCGAGGAGGAGTTTACAGACGATGAAGGGCCCGCCGACCGCTTCTAAAACCCTTTTTGGCATGTTGGATAAGCCATCACGCAAGGCATGATGATGCCGAAATGGGCTCATCTTGATGGTCGGCACTGGGAGTAGTTCCAGCTCCTAACATTTCAATGTACAAAGGGCGTATGCTTGCAGACCATACTGTGGTCTTCTAATGACATGCCAGGGTGCACGCAATTTGTTTAAGCATGTTTAAGCTGGCAACACTTAATCTACTCTGTTCGATTAATAAACCTAGATGTTGGGCAACCGCTGTGAGTCCAAAGTTCCTGAGCTTTTCTGTAAGGATACAGGGATCCTGGCATGTGGAAATTTGAAAGCCAATGTCGTGTGACCGGCCAGTACACTAGCACAACTCGCACACGGTCCCTTAGATATGCGAAGTGCAAAATCTATGCTTGTGACTTGTGACATGATGTGATGTAGGGCAATAAGTCTCGCGGTGTTTAGCAACTGCGTGCCCCTCCTCCCAGAATGTGTCCTTCTTTACGCAGATGTACACAGATGGAATTCCAACATTCTATTGCCGATGTTCGGCGCGCCTTACTTGAAGAAACCGTGAGCCGTGGGGCTTTGAGGTAAAATATTTGGCAATCAGAATCGGGCTTTTCTTCACTGTCGTGCCACTTGGGCATGCAACTTCAGTTGCCGCATTTCCCAGTTCGAGTTGTCTGGTTCATCAGTTTGATGCTTTCTCCTCCCCCATCCTGCAGCATTCGCACATATACACGCAGAATAGTGTGCGTGCACTGCACTCAATATGCCACAGATGAAAGGAAAGGAGGAAGGGAGGGAGGAATGGAAGGCTTTTGAAATCCGAGGACGGCGCTCGGCTTCCTGACCCCTTGGCTTCTGGGTGTATTTTCCTTAGATCCTGTGCACCCGCTTCAGCTGAGACAAGAAGGTGACTGGACCTTGAGGCCCCAGACGTGCAAATCCTGTCGAACGTGATCCTGAACCATCTCACTGTCCCTAGCTTAGCCTGATCCAACTCCCACAGCTGAGGTATGTTGTAACGCTGAAAACGTCACAATTTGTTGCGAGGTGGGCACCCTAAGCACCTTTGTTTTGGCCGGAGGTGGGGCAAACTACTTTCAGTTGCATTGAGAGTCTGAGAGTCTACAAAATTGCTCATGAGGTTGGGCTGTTTTGCAAGTTTGGCACTCAGGTCAAGCAAGCAGAAATAACATGAAACAAGTCCAAGATGCATCCCAGGCCCTTTGGTCGTTGAACCTTTGCGGGATTCATCCACATGCCTGGAGCTTCGACGGCAAGGCCATTCATCCCTTTCGCTTCGATTTTCAAGCGCGGCTGTCGAAGCGAAGCATCGCGAAGCATCGCGAAGCATCGCGAAGCATTGAAGCTGAGAGTGCTAGGATGCGACCTTCATTTTACTCGTTATCGTCAGGGCCTTGGTGCAGACACACTAGACACGCCTCGCCGAACTGTGCGAAGACTGCCCCGCTGAGGTTGCCATCATTGGAGCTATATATCTTCTCTACCAGCTTTGCAAAGGTGCAACTGCTGCTAGAAAGCTACTTTTTGCAAAATGGTTTGTCCAGCCTTCATGTCATCAGGCTTGTGGGAAATCGCCCAAGCAGGACAAAATGCTTCGCGCTTACAGAGCAAGCGCGTTTAAGTGCATGTTCATCACCATGGACTACAATTAAAACCTCTATATATCAATCTAGCACACACACACTTATGGATATGCATACTGACTTGACAGCGGTGCCACACGCCGGCCTAGGGTTCCATTTCCTAAGAACACGAATAAGAACCACAGGTGCCTCGGGGTCCTCAAAAAGGAAAAATGGCCAAAGGCTCAAGACGAGGTCGGTCCGACAGGGTGACGGCGTTCCGTGCGTGACTGCAGCTGCACTAGCACTTTATCAAAACTTCAAAAATTGGCAGGCACGCCGAGTTGATCAGACTCGGTATCCCGTGATTGTGGTAGCTTCGTTGGGTGCGGTCCCACAATCACGCCGCACTCCCCTGCTGTAAAAAACCAAAAGCAAAAACAATCCGAAAGGATCCCTGTGATTCCAAGGGTTACACACACACGCCTCCCCGAGGGGAGGCGTCAAACTAAGGTGAGGGCAAATGTGCACGTGTGCGCGCACAAGAGACAAAAGAATGAAGACATGACAGCAGGACGAGACGGGACAAATGTGTGTGTGGTGGAAATGAAAAGGGAACCAAGTGCACAGGGACACCCGATGAAGCCCACCTCATTGTCAAGACCTGGGCGACCTGAAACCTATGTGAAAATGTATGTAAAAGTGCACGTACACACTAAGGTCGGGACCAATGTGCGCGCAAACGAAGAAAAGGATGAGATGACCAGACATGAAGACAGGAGGACATGAAAGAAAAGAGGAAACAAAAGTGTGTGAAGGGGAAGGGATGAAAGGGGAACCAAATGGAGGGGACGAAAACCGATGAGACCAAACCTCATTGCAACGACCTAGGTGACCTGCCTTGTTTCAATGTACACGCTGTGTGTGCACCCAAGGTCGCGACAGGTTCCAATGAACCTCAAAAGTACTTCGGTCGCTCTGACCACGTTGAGGCGTTAAGCCAGCTTGGACCGCCGCGGTCACGTAAAGGCATGAGCCAACTTGGAATTCCAAAGATGAGACAAACATCCCACTTCTTGAGGCATAAGATACCCGTCTGGAAGTCCATACTTTTTTCCCAGACGTCAGGGACATTTTATTACTATGATTTTTCTCGCACCGAACCTCAGTCACAGGATTCCAAAAAAGAACACCAAAAAATTAAAGGACATGCAATTCCAATGTTGACGCAGGAAAAAATAAGAGATATTGAAAAAACAAATCATTGGGAATTCCTAGAAGGATGGAATGGTTCAGCACAGGATTTCATAACAGTTTCATTGCCTCTCCTGTAACAATAGAGTAAGGTCTGACCCAGGAATTTAATATGTTGGTTGGTCTAGAGTCTAGCAAGGATGCTTTTTTTGGAATCCTGCGCCGACGCAAGGCGAACCTCCGAAGTCGATCAACCGATCAACATGGTTGTTTGCACAAGATTTCTCAAAGCACACACTCAGAGAGATCATCGACCGATTCCAACAGTAGACTCTGCCAGTCCTCGGCGCTAGCGCGGATCTAGCGCCAGCCTAGCGCAAAAATCTCCGTCGATTTCTTTATCCTGTCAGATTCTTATTTTTCCTGCTTGCTTGTATTCTTCTTGTTGTGCATTGTTCTTCTTCTTGGCTTTTCTTTTTTCTTGTCTTACTTCTTCTGTTTCCTGCTCTCTGCGTGTTTCTTCTTTTTCCTGCTTGCTATCCTGTTATGAAACCTAGCGCCAACCTAGCGCCAATCCTTGTCCTTCCTCAGGTCCTGCAAGATTGCAAGACAATGGTGGAGAAGATGGGGGCCTTTGTTCATACCGAATCTTTTACAAGCTTCAGCCAGAATTCCATAAATGACGGCGCTTGTTTTGGAAAATGCTGGAACTAAAAAATTAGGAGGTTAGAACACGCAGGCCGGAAAGAGGGTCCTGCCCAACCGCAGCTTGCAGCTCTGTCTTCTCTTCCAACTTCGCATCCTACGCCAGGTGTAAAAAATAGATCCTTGACTTCTATTTCCAAACCAACCCGAGACTTCTAACGTCCCAAAGCACCAGAATGACCTATATCGAGTTCTTTCCATGAAGGACCAAAACTCTATATAGTTGAATCTTCCTCAACCAAGTAAACTTCCCTCATCGTAGCCAAACTCGTGAAGGACAAATATACAAGGACAGAACTTCTCCCACCTGCGAAACACCGGTCGATGGCTCCATCTTCGCCTGAGGATATGGAAAGAAATACAATGACCAGCGTCCCAAAACAGAATCGCAGATCTTCAGGAACCACGTTCGAGAAAAAAGTCTTTGACTCCTGATCTCCTGTATGCCCGTGGGTGCTCCAGGTGGGGCTGGCAACCTACTGAGATTGTGGATGTTTATGAAATCCTGCGGTCAACCTGTGCCGGAGAAACATCCAAGAACATAGTGTGATACCAGGCAGGTATTTTCTACTTTTTTCCTGGATCAACCCTCCCGAAAGAGACGTCTAAAAAAGCAGGCCTCGGCGCTTGAGCCGGTTGAAGCCTTGACCTGTGCCCGGAGAAGGTTAAAGAATGGGAGTGGATTTAGGGCCTCCAACCTACTAGCGATGGCCTCCACCTAGAAGCGTTCTTTTGAAAAATAACACAAAGAATGAGAGTGGCTTTGGTTCCGTTGTGAGGACAAGGAGGGCAGGGACACCCCTGAACCAGGACTTTAATATGCCAGGATGTTTGTTACACATGAGCTTCTTCAACCTCTGTACTAGGATTCCATAAAACAGGTTGACGCAGGATTCCATAAATGCTCAAAACCATCATTTTTTTTTGGCTGCCAACCTTGGCACACAAAAAAATAAAGGAATGACCTCAGCCCGAAAGGATTTTATAAAATAAAATCCTGCGTCAAACCTTTAGCGTACCTTCGAACGGGTATGCATAAGCCATCTACTGTCCGCTGCGGACATCTGCGTTCCCAGAGCCGGGGGAACATGGACAAACCCCCGTTCAACGGGTCCACGGGAGGCACTCTGCGGGCTCATCCGGGGTTGGCACGAGGCCAAACACACTTATGGATATGCATACTGACTTGACAGCGGTGCCACACGCCGGCCTAGGGTTCCATTTCCTAAGAACACGAATAAGAACCGCAGGTGCCTCGGGGTCCTCAAAAGGAAAAATGGCCAAAGGCTCAAGACGAGGTCGGTCCGACAGGGTGACGGCGTTCCGTGCGTGACTGCAGCTGCACTAGCACTTTATCAAAACTTCAAAAATTGGCAGGTACGCCGAGTTGATCAGACTCGGTATCCCGTGATTGCGGTAGCTTCGTTGAGTGCGGTCCCACAATCACGCCGCACTCCCCTGCTGTAAAAAACCAAAAGCAAAAACAATCCGAAAGGATCCCTGTGATTCCAAGGGTTACACACACACACAGACAGACACACACTTCGAACTTGGGTTTTCAGTTATACTCAGTTGTCACGATGGGAAGGAAGGTGAGGGAACGGCAAGGCGAAAGGGTCCGGTGACTTGTATTGTTTAACACGTGTTTCTCTCACGCGCCTGAAATGCAGCGCACAAGTTGCTGAAAAATGTCATGCAAAACCACCATGAATCAAACCGTGGAAGAGTAGGGTAACAGCTTGCGAGAAAACGAGCAGGTACACGGAAGTGATCAGCTTCCGCTTCCTAGGATCTTGCAAAGAGCTTCGTTGGGCAGAGCCTTGCAAGTCCTCTCTGCCCCCCTGCCTTTGATGAAATGACATCAGTGGAAAAAAAAGTATTTAGAACGATCTCGGTGGTAGTGGAAAGGTGAAAAGGTGGAAACCCTTAGAACCAGGGTGTGACACACACAACAAGCCGTGATCGGCGCACAGAGCGAGCGGTGGAAACGCGGATCTTTTCCTCAAAAACCGCCTGCACGCATGCAGGTCATGCCCTTTTTGGGCGTAAAGGTTGACCAAGGCTTCAGCCGCAGCGGTGGCGTTGCGGGGTGGAAAAGTGTAGGTATAGATGGAGTGAAGTCTCGAAGCTAAGCCGGACAGAGCCAAGCGCTGGCTACCGGCGCTGGTGTGATCCCTGATTTTCCAGGGTTGGGTGGGTTGTATGTAGGTGATGGTACGTTGTTGGAGGTCAATGTTGAACCCCAGGAGGTGGAAGTCTTCCACCGTCTCCAATTCGACGGGATCGCCGAAAAAGTTGTTGTGGATGAGGGTCTGGATGGCGTGATGTGAAAGGAAGTGTTCATTGTGGACAATGAAGCGGTTGTCCACATAGCGATAGTAGGCGAAGTGGAGGGCAGTGTGTTGAAGGAGATTGTTGTGAAGTTGAAGCCAGGAGTGTTCGATGAGGGTGATGGCAATGTTGCAAAGGGCAGGGGAGAGCTGGGAGCCAATCCCAGCCCCCCGGATTTGCTTGTAAGTGTTGTTGCATGCCCGGAAAATGCAGGTGTCAAGTGCGTATGCCACAATTGTTGTAATGTCTGCAGCGTGGATGGTGCGCTGTGTAGGGTGGCGTCGGTGGTGCCTGCCGATGTGGGAGTGGTGGAAAGGGTTGCCAGTGGCTTTGGTGTCAACGGTAAGAGTATGGGTGTCGTTCTGGCGTTGCCATTGCTGAACAAGGGAGTGGACGGCGTCAATCAGGCGGCGCTGTGGAACTGAGTTGAAGAAGCCAACAAGATCGTCATTGGTGGCATGTAGGGGGATGTCGGGTGGCGTGTCAATGAGGTAGCAGTGAAAATGGGACCACAGTTGTGGAATTGATAGTTGACCTGGATGCTGGGGGAGGAGGTGTTGCAGGATAATGTCGAGGGCTCGGCTGGTAATGCGGAGGAGATTGCCACTGAGAGACTGGAAGTACGAGATGATGGTGCGGCCTTTCCTCCACTGTTTCTTCTCCTTGAGGTGGACTATGCCGTATGGGATCGTAAAGTCTTTTCTGAAGCCCCATTTGTAGCGTGTGCGGAGGCTAGGGGGGATGGTGTGTGTCAGGTATTCGTGGATGTTGGACGGTTGGAGTGTTTGCATAGGTGCAA